GTTGGTGCTGTCTCTGAAAAACCGTTTGATGCCTAGGCACACTGTCGGTGCAGGAGACTTGGTTGTCTTATGAATCTGTCTCCCAATAAACATTTTGGGTGACAAAACTGTCCCTTCAGTGTTGGACCAACCTGTTAGAGGGCCATTTGCTTCATAACTAGGTGGACAAAACCACAGAAGTGACATACATCAATCATCAGGGAGGAAAAAGTGGTAGAGCGGACCTGGTACTGGGCGAAAATGCAGGTTCTAGCCTTGTCAGCTGTTTACATTCCTGGCATTAATAATTGGCAGACAGATTTCCTTAGCTGGCAGCATCTGTGCTTGGATAGAGTAGTCTGTCCACTGGGGATGTTCCAGGATCTGTGTCAAGCTGGGGAATGTCAGATGTGGACCTTCCAGGTTCAACAACAAATTGGACTGCAAAATGTATTTTTTTCTCTTTATGAATATCCACATACAGAGAACAGTAAGCAAACTGCGAATAGAATATAACGTTAGACAAAAAATGATAAAGGATTTCCAGGACTGTAAAGGGCAATAACTGAGAAATATTCGTAAAAATACATCAGTGCAGTTTGTTCCAAACATATATAACCGAACAAATCTCTGTAGGGAAACTTTTTTTTTTTGTCGGAAACCTTAAAATCCAAGAAAAGTGGGGAGGAAAGTGAGTGAAGGGCAAGGAAAGGAAACACTGAGGGTAGACAACTCCGCCTGAGGGGTATAGGACTCCCGGCAGTGCCTACTAGGGTGTAGGAATGGAGTGCAGGAGTAGAAATGTGCCAAGAGTAACTCGTACAACCATGTATTCAGTCCATATCCTCCAGTAGGTTCTTACCGTCGTCAGTGAGGAGGAATGTGTGCCAATAAAACCAGGTTTTATTAAAGCCTCTATTTTATCCAGACAAGACTAGATCATGCTTTCCATTTTGGTTAATTTCTTCCACTTTGCATAGCTGCATGCAGACAGAAGGTGGGGATTCTTTTCTCCAGCAAGCAGGTTGTAGAATAGATATAATTGTGATTGAATAGATAAAAAGCCATATCCTGTTGGAGAGTGTAATCATTTAAGTACATAGTTACATAGTATTTGGGGTTGAATAAAGACATACGTCCATCAAGTCCAACCCATATAAGTAGACTTAAGAGAACTATGGAGTAAGTGTTTTTACCCATAGTTCTCTTAAGGGTCACAGGAGAACATACTAGCGTCCTCCCGTGACCCAAAGCTCAGTATATCGCTACAGCTCGCAGAATATGGAGACCACCGCAGCCGGTACGGATCCTGACAATGCTGTCAAGATCCGCCTGGCTGTGCGCGAGGCAGCGCCAGCAGTACCTGCCCCTCCCCCCCGTCCGTTCCTCCAGTCAGCGCTGGAGGATCGGGGGGGGGGGGGGAGAAATCCCTTCAGTCACTGCTCTCTGCAGGGAGAGGATCGAGAAGTGAGCTGGCGACTCTGTGTTCACTCACTTCCCGATCTATTGAGCAGACGTGTGACAGTTTCATTGTCGCAAGTCGGCTCGAACTATGAGGATGAGTGATTTTTCACTCGCCTCATAGTTCAAGTTTTTGGCAGTCCCAGTAAACATGGGGCAACGTGCCAATGTCAGTTCCACCACGCCCCCATGCCTCAGAATTTGAGGTGTTAAAATGCTTAGCCTGAACTGAGGTCACATACCAACGTGAGAGAACTTTTATAATTGAGTTTCTTGAAATCTGGAACAGATTGAGGAATTAGAGGTAAGACGAAAAATCCTCTGAGCTTCCTCCTGGGAGAACAATTAATTTTAGGTCGTGTTCCCACTGGAAAAGAAGTCTGATAGTCGGAAGAGATGTTTCAGGCCTGTCGATTGAAAAGAGTAAATCTGCATACACAGATATTTTATATTCTCCATTTGCAGTTGTGTAAGGACTGCAATGTCAGAATTATTACGTATTGTGCAAAGGAAGGGTTCTAGAGATGAAACAAACCATAACTGGGAAAGAGGGCATCGCTGCCATGTACCGTTGACAATACCAAAGGATTCCAAAAGAACCCCATTCACTCCCACCTGGGCCGTAGGATGAGAATAGAGGACTCTGAACCAGGTCAGCATGTTGCGGTCCAAGCCCACAAATCGCAGGATGGTATCCAGGAAGTCCAATTGTCTCTTTCAAATGCCTTCTCTGCACCGATGCCCAGGAATAAGCAGGGCAACAACGCAGAGGAGGCATGGTGGACCAGGTTCAAAAACTTAATTATGTTTCTAGTCTGATGAAATGGGATGAAACGCACCTGGTCCAGATGGGCAAGTGTTGAAATATGAGGTAACCGACGGTTAGCCAGGATTTTGTTAAGGAGTTTGAGATCCACATTCAACAGATATTGGATGATGGCTCGAACAGGAGGAAGGATCTTTACGTGCTGCCAGAAAGTTATAAGTCAAAGTAAGACAGTCAGGCTCCGGGGCTTTGCCTGTTTTAGTACCTTTTTAAGAGCTGACTGCAATTCTGTCAGAGTAGCCTTCAAAGATTCCGAGATTGCAGCCATAACTTTAGGCATTTTGAGATGTGGCGAAATAAGAAAACATTGCTGCCGTTTTTATCTTCGGGTGATTTGGGCATCTAGAGGAGTGGGCGGATTATAGAAGTAAGAATAGAAGTGTCCAAAAGCATGCGCTATCTCCTTGGGAAGATCTACCTTTCTGCCTAGATTCGTGGAAACAGAGGGCACAAATGATTGTGAACGATGATCTCTCAGGGCATTGGCCAAAAGACAACTATATTTGTCACCAACTTCGTTAGAGATTTTGACGAGGAGCCATGGAGGACTGAACTTTGACAGTGTATATTGACTGAACTTTAAGGGGTTGATTTACTAACCTTATAAACACACCATGAACGTGTATACACCTCTAGTGTGTTCCCTCCCAGCATGATCTATGGGAGGAATCAAAACACCTTTGTAATGTGTACACACCCAGCAGGTGTGTTGTGCAAAGCCCTGCAATGAATTGCAAGGTAATGTGGTGTAAATTAGCTCTATGTTATGTTGCTTGCGTTGATGAATGCAGGAATGTAAATACATTAGCTAACCATTTTTGTCTAAACTGTGAAGCAGCATTATATATGCATCATGTGCATGATTTTTCCATATATGGCATTAGTGGAAATATGCTTTTAGAGACTTTTTGGTTGATAAATAAGTTTTGCGGTGTGAAAATCACACACACCTGCTGCGTGCGTGTGTTTAGGTTAGTAAATCACCCCCTAAGTCTCATCGTGGTGAGTTCCGCCCAGATAGGATCAAGTTTGTGCCTGTGTTCCAAAGTGTGGAGTTCCTGTAGAAGTGACAGCTGGGATTCCCTTTCCTTTTCGAGTTTCGAACCATGTTTGATCAGCACACCTCTAATGAAAGCTTTGTGGGCTTCCCATACCAACATACAGCTACAGTCTGCTATAGTGTTTAATGGATTCCCTTTTTGCCATCTAGGAAGGGTGGCCCAACTAGTTGGAGGGGTTATAGCCTGCACTGGCCTACAATTAGTATTGTTTTTTGTGATGGGCCAGCTAAAGCCCAAAGGGCAACTGAAAGAGCATATGTGACTGGCTGACAATGCTGCTAATTGTGAAACGGTGGTTCAGTGCTGTCAACCTGCTGTTGGGGACGTTCTGTTTCTGACAGAATCCCTAGACAAGACGCATTGCAAAAAAATGTTTGCTTAAAAAACTACTTGCTGTGAGGCATGATGGCAAAATTGCTGACATTAAATGATAGGTTTACATAAACTCTTTAAATGAATGAATAGGGCCAATGTCTGTATTCAAGTGTATATAATTTTGACCTTTTGGAATCTCCATTTTTCCTAACTTTCTGTCTACCAGGACTTGAGTGGGAGATGATGGCCAGCATTGTGAGCCTTTCTATTGAATTGCACAAACTGCACAGTGATCAAACAACACAGCGCTTGCTTACAAGAAAGGAAACTACTCAGAAAAGTTCATTGGTGTGCTTGCCACTGGTTCATTGTCTGGAGACTGGTAGTGGGGGACATCTAATTTTGGCATCCCTTTGCCTCCATGAAATACCTTGTAGCCGTAATGGTTAGGTGGGGGTATGTGTAGGGCAAAAAAAAAATGCATTTTATTGCAGCTTACCAGTTTTTTGATGTGGTGGCTGCATTAGTTTGTGGTTTTGGTTTTTTTAAATTTTATTTTCCCATGGTGATTCTGCTAGTAACACACTTCCAGTTCTCGTATAACAATCCTCACTCATGCTCTTAAGTATCAGGAAGACAGAAATCAGGTAGGACACAGCCCCTTTCTGACAATGTGCACTTATGTTTCGCCCCCCTTCTCTGACCTAACAAATCTTTTACTGCCCCTCCCACAGATGCATACTTACTGAGACCTGATGCCCACTGCCTCCTGTGTGTGTGTTGACATCATGCTTCGCAAGTCCTCTCTCCTGTTGCGCCTCTGCAGTAGATCCCCATAAAAGTCTAGCGGGGCTCGTATCCCATCTGGAAACCAGAGGTAGACGATTCCCATATATGTGTATGGGGCTCTGCAGCGCATGCATTGCCGAGAGAGGAGTTACCTTTGGGATGTAAACAGCTCCTGGAGGCTGTGTGCGTCGGATCAAGGCAAGTCCACATCTGCGCGGGAGGGATGGATCTGCGCTTATTCTTTGAAACCTTTTGACTTTTAACTTATTAAAACAGCTTCAGCATGAAGCACCTTTTTTCAATTTATTGTTGGGCAGATGAGGCGACTGTAATTTTGGTTGCATGTTCCCATATTCTAAGCTGTGTACAGAATGCAGTGCGTTTGCTCACATTGGCTATACACTTGATGGGGTACTTAGTATTTCATACATCAGGCATAGAGTATTCAATTATAGGATGTTTAAGGGAAAGGAACAGTGTGCTTTTGTTTAAATACATGTTTTATATTTGAGGGAAGTTTTTTGTAAATTTTTTTTACATTTTTTTTTTTTTTTTTTTTCTCCCTACAGGTTTAAAAGAATTGAGAAGCCATGGGGGCGTTTTTAGACAAGCCAAAGATGGAAAAACATAATGCCCAGGGGCATGGTAATGAACTCCGTTACGGGCTCAGTAGCATGCAAGGTTGGCGAGTTGAGATGGAAGATGCACATACGGCTGTGATTGGTTTGCCAAATGGACTTGATGGGTGGTCGTTCTTTGCTGTTTATGATGGTCACGCTGGTTCCCAGGTTGCCAAATACTGCTGTGAGCATTTGCTGGACCACATCACAAGCAACCAGGATTTCAAAGGGACTGATGGACAGCCGTCTGTGGAAAGTGTAAAAAACGGAATCAGAACAGGTTTTCTTCAAATTGATGAACATATGAGAGTCATTTCTGAGAAGAAACATGGTGCCGATAGAAGCGGGTCAACAGCAGTGGGTGTTATGCTTTCTCCTCATCACATTTATTTTATCAACTGTGGAGACTCAAGAGGATTACTTTGTAGAAGCAAGAAAGTTCATTTCTTCACACAGGATCACAAACCGAGCAATCCACTTGAGAAAGAGCGTATACAAAATGCTGGTGGCTCTGTGATGATCCAGCGTGTAAATGGGTCACTTGCAGTTTCAAGGGCTCTAGGTGACTTTGATTACAAATGTGTCCATGGAAAAGGCCCCACAGAGCAGCTTGTATCACCAGAGCCTGAAGTGTATGAAATTGAGCGGTCAGAAGAAGACGACCAGTTTATAATTCTGGCCTGTGATGGTATCTGGGATGTCATGGGAAATGAAGAGCTGTGCGAATTTGTAAGGTCCAGACTAGAAGTTACTGATGACCTTGAAAAAGTTTGTAATGAAATCGTAGACACCTGTCTATACAAGGTACAGTACATTTTTGTCGGGACTATTCATTTTTATAGTTGATTTGACTTAAAGTATGTCTAAAGTCAGAATATTTTTTTTAAATCTGTATCTAGTTGGGGAGATTACTTGTAGACATAAGTGAGGGAAATCTCTCCAAAGTAAGGGAATGTCCTCTTAGTTGTGTTTATCACCAGAACAGATGTCCCTATTGATTATTTCCACTCTCTTCCTGTTCTGGTGACAACTTGAAGTTTTGGATTTTCTCTGACTGGTCACTCCTAAAAACTGAGTCCATCTATTGAGTGCAGACACACAGTAACAACACACTTACTGATCTAGCCCATGTTCTAATAATGCAAAAATAACAAGTTGTTGTTTTTTGTTTTTTTTGTGTCTTTGGAAATGTCCCTTTTCACATGAGGGAGAGCGTTGTGAGCGGCTGGCGTCTCTCCTCCCACACCGCTCAGCCCCCTGTTGCAGAGCGGTGTGTGGGTGGAGACAGCCAGCACTGTCACACGAGGCTGAGCTCCACTCGCTCAGCCTCCTGTGACAGCGTGTCAGGAAGGAGACGAGTGCAATCACTCAGTGATCGCTGAGTGTTTGTACGTAATTGAGGACATAGCATGTTGATTGTATCCTCAATGAATGGGAAGTGATCTACATCACCTCCTGTTCATTCATGATTGTGGACTCTGTTCTCAATTTCTTCTATTTTAAAAGGAAATTATCAGGGGTCTCTTTAGATCCCTAATATTTTCCCGAAGCCCCTAAAAGTAAAGTTAAAAATATCTAAAAAATGAATAAATATTAAACAAAATGTAGTATATTAAAAAATATTTTTTTTTCTTCATTTCGGTGCACCAAGTAGAAAAATAAGCTCTAAATAGTGTTAAAACTTTTAAAAACCTTTTAACAAGTATCTAACAACTTACATTTGAATGAATAGACAGTGCTGTACTGTATTAAGCCGGCCATTAGCCACTCATTCCTACCCTGGCTGAACGAGCGTGACAAGCTATCTTCTCCCTTCCCGACAGCTCACTGAACCTCAGTGTTGACATCAGTGTGTAAACTTTTCGACGCGTTTCGTCAATAGTGACTTCTTCCAAGGGAGATACTGCACTGTGATTCCAGTGGAGCACGGAGTTGATTTACTTTACACCTGTTAAGGACATTTTTAAGGACACAAAAAATGTGTAATTTTTACATTTATTATTAATGTGCATGGGGTGGACTTTAATGACACTGTGTATAGGACATTTTATTTTTTTTACAGGTATTTATATAGCCGAGGCACTTTACGTAGTTGCACATTCACATCAGTCCCTACCCTCAAGGAGCTTACAATCTAAGGTCCCTATCTCACATGCATACATAGAGGGCCAACTTAGAGAGGAGCTATTTAACCAACCAGCATGTCTTTGTAGTGTGGGAGGAAACAGGATTACCCGGAGGAAACCCACGCAAGCACAGGGAGAATGTGCAAACTCCATGCAGATAGTGACCTGGCCGGGATTCAAACCAGGGACCCCCAGTGCTGCAGGGCAGAAGCGCAATCACTACCCCACTGTGCTGCCCATTTATGGGATAAAGTTTGTTGATGGCATTTGTGATTTGTATATGTATTTAGAAAATGGCAAGTGATAAGTTATCGCACTACATTGAGCTAAATGAACCGTCTGGGCCTATAATGGAAAAACATGTAAAAAAGGGTTACCCTCTGTGATTTCAAAATAAGCAGTAGATCAGGAGATGTAGGAAGCTGAAACTGTATGCCGATCTCAACTATTGCAGTAAAAGTTGAGAATTTTGATACAAATCCAGCTGTCTATATGCCTATAGCTGCTGATTTTACCTTGCAATTTTTTACCACCGGGAACTCTATGCTACACTCACCTCCCTCCCCCATTCTATGCTCACAATTTACTTGGTTTGTGACATGTTAATGCACCATTTCTTCAAAGTAGGGGGACAAACTTGGTAGAACTGACCAAGAGCTAATTTTATGCTGTTTGATTAGTAGTTGAAGTGGACCATGTTCAATTAAAGCCATGTAATGCTTATTTCAATTTGTACTTAAACATCTGTTTGCTGTGTTCTGTTTTCAAAGATTTTTAGTAATTAAAGAATACCATTTTTGCCTTTCCAGGGAAGCCGAGACAACATGAGTGTTATAGTGATCTGTTTTCCAAGTGCTCCAAAAGTGTCACCAGAGGCAGTGAAGAGGGAAGCGGATTTGGACAAATACCTGGAAAGCAGAGTAGAAGGTGGATCATTTAACCAAAATAAATAACCTAATGCTTAGTCTTTTTCTTCTGTTCTTATGCCTTCAAGTGCCATTAAAACGTGCAGTTCAAAGGGGACTATTAAAATGTGCAGTTCAAAGGGGACTATTGTCTATTTGGCATGAGCTTTGTCTCCAACATTGTTAACTCTAAACAACACTACGTAATTTCTACATAAAGAATTAAAGGCTAGCTCATTAGTACCCTAGCACATGACAATTTGCATTACTGTCGGGGTAGATAGGGCAAAGACCCTTTTTTTTTTTTAGTCACTAATGTGAAAAGTTTGAACATAGTATTCACAACTGTATTGTGATCTACAGTATGATTAATAATCATTTTGGTATAGTAGAAGGTATACATATGGTGTATGATATCTTATGTTTGTGTGTTAATAACCAGACCTTTTTTTAAAATCATGTTTCTTCTATTTTTTTAAATAATCTCTACTTTCACTAGACTGAAAACTCCAAAGCTGTTTATTACTTACCGAGAAGTTGTACTGCATGCTGATTCCTTGTGTTTTTCTGGAACTTCTGTGTTCAGTTTTTCCCCAACCTGAATCCACAGTTCTTATCAGCTGCCACTGATGTTGCAAAGCCAAATGATGTTTATTCATCTTGGACATATTGTTCACAGTATAGGATAAAGGCAAAGATGGTAATAATAAAGCTAAACTAAAGTCAATTGATTATCTCCACTCCAGTGATGTAACCTCCAGTGATGTGATCTCCATGAGTTTCCTCACTGGTGCCAACCTCCTTCTCTTAGGCTTCTTCCAGTTACTAGGTCTTCAGCCATCTGGACTGGCTGGTGTGGGATGATGTAACTCCCGCATCTGTATGGGAGTTCTTTATCCTGGTGTGGAGGTGTGATGGGAATGTTACACTGAGATGCACATGCACAGTTCACTGTATATTCCTAAAAGGATTGCACACAGGTAGATAAGTTTGCTTTATTGCAGACGAGACCTTGCATGTCTCTTTTACGATGGTCTACCTGCTCGCAATTTTTTTCTTTTTTTTTTTTCATTTAAGGGCCCCTTCACACCTACATGATCTGTTGTGAAGCAGTATTTCTCTTGTACGGGTATTGCGTTAATGTTGCCCATTCATTAAGACTAGGCTGCCAATGTATGGCAATGGAAAAATACATTGGACCTATACTTTTTTCTTTTTCTTCGTGCAACAAAATATGTTCTGATGCTCTGTACTGAGGGTTTGTTGGCACCACTTTACTGTGCATTGGGTGCCATTCTTAATGTATAGCAGTGCGTTGGTTCAATTATGTGCTTTTAACCTCCCTGGCGGTAATCCCGAGTCTGGCTCGGGGTGAATTTTCAATGCTAGGAGCGGTAACCCCGAGCCAGACTCGGGGCTGCAGAGAAAAGTGACGCTCACCTTGTCCCTGCAATCCCGCGGCGTCCTCTGCTGTACACGGCCCGAAAATGAAACTAAAAGCCGGCATCTGACTTTTAGTTTCGTTTTCGGGCGTCACAGCAGGCGGGAAATTCAAAAGTGAAAAGTTGTAATGTACACAGAATACACACAATACAATGTAATCTGCTATGATTACACTTATGTATCAAACTATTTCACTTCAATTTTGTCCCTAGAGCTTTGTCCAGTGCCCTGCCTGACACTTTTTTCACAATTATAAGAAATTATAATGTAATTATAAAAAATTATAATAAAATAATAAAAAAAATGGTCCAGTAAATGGGAATTCTGGGGGCATTGCCTGATCCGTACCACAGTAAATAAAGTACCAAGTTCGCACATCACTGAGCTTGGTCGCAGAATCGTCGCTGTCCTCACTTTCACTATTTGTGTAACAGTAAATAAAAGTAATTCACCGCCACACACTTGAAGGGTTTTTTAAGTATTGATATGTTTATTTAATACCTAATGTCATATACTGTGATACGGTGTTAACGTTTCGGATCCGCACAGGGATCCTTCATCAGAGCGACAGGTGAAGTAACCCTGTGCGGACCCGAAACGTTAGCACCGTATGACAGTATGTGAC